ACCCTTTGCCTGTCAGCGCACCACACAAACACACATACACACACGTAAACACTTATCAAGGACAACGAGTGACACATGAGGTCCTGCAGCCGCAGCTGACCAACTGAAAATCTCGGTGAAAAGTTTGGACTGACTTCGCATTAGCCGCGCATTAAAAATGCACAGGAAAAGGATCGAGGAGCACAAGGCTGGGCGACACAATTTACCTGTGCCGACACCCTTTCACCCACCGCCCAACCACCCAACCACCCAACCACCCAACCAGCCAGTAAGCCCAACAATCCTCCCCACTTATCCTCGTCCTGTCACAAAACTGTCACTCAAACGTAATTAACACCGGAGATGGAGGACTAAAGTGGCTCAATGTCGAGCGGAATGGGAACTTTTAACATTTTTCAGCCGAAAGTTGATTTTTCAACGGCCAAACGGAAAATGGGAAAAAAAAAACATCTAAGAGCAATTAGAATTTAAAATGGAAATCCGGATTTCTTGTTACAATTAGGAAAATTGTTGTTGGACGGAAGAAGTTTCTTCCTGTTCTGTCATTAAATATGTAAGAAGCGAGAATTAACTTTAATTGCAATTTGATCTTCGGATTGCCGTTGATAAATTCGTTTTGTGGGTTTTTCCTTATTTTGACTTGCGACAGAGTTTCGTTTGAGGGAGGTCAAAGGTTAAAGCTTTTTGGTGTCGGTTATTAGGTTAATTGGAGGTATTTGTAATTGAACACCGCTATAATGGGACAATCATGTTTGAAAAGGGGTAGCAGTTAAGAGAGTGGTAAATATAAAGTCAAACTTTGTTGAATTGACAGGTGATTGTACATTTTCCGAACGGAGAGTTCACTTCAATGGTTTTTTAGAGTTAGATCAGAATCATACAACAATAATTTTTAAGAGGATTTTCTCTGTTTAAGGCAAAAACTTTTAAAATAAATTAGATCCTATGTTTAAAAATATCCCTATCAAAGCTTCAAATACTAACGTCACTTTATATCGAAATCCAAACTATGGTGTGCAAACCTCAAAGTCTTTCCCAACCTCAAACCAAAGACTCAAACAACAAACTCGGCGACGACAGCAACAACAACGCGAGTCAATTAGCAAATCGAGTGCTAACTGTTAAAACCCGAATCGACAGCTCCATCGATAGCCATCTCTTTCTACATATACCGTTCATGTACTGAATGTCCCACTGTTTTTGTTATTGCAAAATCGGTAACAGCGACGCATGCGCCGGCAGAGAGCGCTGCGATTGGCCAACATAATCGGCAACCAATGGCAGTTAAGGAAAACGATACCAAAAAAGAAAACTTAAATAAAAAACAAAGTATGCGAGGGAAAAAGAAGAACTAAGAGCGTGGATGGGGCCAAAATAGTGAAAAGTGATTTTTAATTGCTTTGATAGTTTTACGGCAAGTGACGGTAGAGTCAAGTTAAAATAATGGGAAGCAGGTGAAAAGTCCAGAGTTTCTATAGAAGTTACACCTTAAAAATGGGGTCTTAAAATATAATTCCACAGCTTGTAATTATTTCACGAATGGTTATATTAAAGTATGTGTTAGAACACATTTATTATCTTAAATTGTAGAAAAAAAGTAGCATATTAAGGATTTTATTATTTGGGTTTATGCGAGTGTTTCTTTAAGTGAACTTCTGCTGTTGACAGTTCGCACAAACCGAGCTCTTATTTGCCGGATTTTCCTGCCGTTTTTGCTGCTACCAACGCTGTCACTCCCGCCGTTGCATGCATAATTAATTTGGCTTTTAGTGACTGCATTGTGCAGTCCTCGTCCTGGCCAACCGATGTCCTGTTATATCCTCATGCGTCATGGTTGTTTTTCGCAACAATTTGCCTGCCACATTGACGGGTCCACCGCTAATGGCTTAAACGTGTTTTTGCCATTTTGCTTTCTTTTTTTTCGTTTTTGGCGTCAATTTAACTTTTTACCTTTTCGGTTTTCTTTTGTTGTGTTTATTTGCGGTCATGTTCATATACTCATATGAGGAGCGGAAGGAAATTGACACTTACACGGAGTGTTGACGGTCTGCCAGCCTTGATTTATATGAAAATATGTAAAGTTTACCACAATTTGTTCTAATAAATGTTTGAGATTTGATATGATACTTGGATGAGTCTCTGCATTTTGATCAATGAACATAATGTCATGAAGAGTCATTTGTTGAAAGCGAAAGTGGCAGTTTAGGAACATTTGGAACGGCCTATCAGTGGTCCGGTAAGCTGCATTAATATTTTTTATAACAGGTCCCACTATCTTACTTCAAATAAAGTTCAACTTAATCAAAACTGGAATTATATAACTGATTATGTTCAAGGGGTTTAAAACCCCTTGGAAAGTTTAATGCGCTGAGATTTGTTTTGATTAAATTTAATCATTACTCATTGGATTAAAAATTTTGTTTTTTTAATTAGTATTTTAGAATACTCTTCTTTAAATTAGTTGTCAATGTTTTTATTTTAATCTGCTCATGAATTTAAAGCAATTTAAACATACTAATTTTCAATTACACGCATGCATTTTAAATCAATAGCTTTGGGCAACTTTTCAATCCACATAGCTTCTAATTAACCTAAAAAGTTAATTCCCCCGTCAAAGTCAAACCTCGCCAAAGTAAAAAACCCCATGACAAAAAGTGAAAAAGCGAGCAAAAAGTAGTGAAATATCACATCATCACCTGACGTTTTGGGTAAATTACATTTTTATGTGCACATAAATAAAATATAAAACGCATTTGCTGTCCCTCTTCCGCACGCAGTCCCGCTCCTTTTACCCATTTGGGGTCCCTTTTGGCTGCGTTAACCCATTGGATCCCATGCTCCGCCTTTTGCCAGCCCCTGTGTATTGGTGTGTGCTTGTGTATATAGCGTTTATGTGGTGCTGGGGGCACCAACACCAAGCCAGATACGATTATCTCGCTCGCACTTTGTGGCACCATCTCGCTCTCGCCCACGAACGCAACTTCTTCGGCTTTTACTTCGGGATATCAGTGTGTGGTGCTTATATACACACGAAGCTTTCTCACTCTCGCGCGCGAGTGTGTGTGTATTAGTGGGGGTGGGGTGGGGGCGCCATTTAAATTACGCCTTGCTGTGTGCTGCTTCTCATTTGCTGGCTGAGAATCCCAAAAGGCACGCACACACACACACGCGGAAAGGCGAAAAAACCAGTTCGCCTAGTTGTCGCCCTCTCCTTCTCCTTCTTCTCTCTCTCTTCTGGGCTCTTTGGCTCTCGGCCTTTGGCATTGCGGCTCTGATTTTAGTAACTTTTTGGTGCTCGCGGCAATTGGACGTCCTTCGTCTCGCGCCTCGCGCTTTAAGAACAACACAAACCAACCCATAAATCCCCGGAATTATAATGATCCTTTGGTGCAACAAGGGCCTAAACTAACAGTGCTTAATGTTCGTTGAGGAAGTGCAGCAAAAGTGCCTCTTAAATCGCATTTAGTTGAATCTAAAGTAATTAATTAGTTAAACCGAAGGAAAGACAGGAATATGCCATGACATGATGGCCCTAAAGATGTTATATCGCGGTCCCAGTTCGCGTTTGGAGAATTTAATTGAGAAGATCCAGGCCACCAAGGAGATAACCAGCAACGGTAAATTACAGGGATTGTTGAAAAGATTTTAAGGGGAAAAGGATCAGTGATCAATTGGGAGTGCACTTTTATGAAATTGTCATCAATTCCTTAAAAAATTATGAAGTAATTTTATGTTCTTTAACTTTGATGATTCAAGTGATTAATTGATATAAAGTCGTCACTGAAATTAAAAAAAAAAGTTCATATGCCGACGGCATTCAAATGTTCATGTCTTGGAAATTAAATAATAAAATACCAACTATTCAAAAATGATAATATTTAGGACATACAATTATAAACTACGTTCTTAAAAATTGTTGGTAAAATAAAAATTCTCAGATAATATTCTCGGATCATTTTGCACTCCAACTGGCACCATAAATCCTAAAGAATCTCCATCCATCTTCTCCAATCAGTTCAACCTCTTTGCCACTTGACATTCCTCTTGAAGACAACCAACATTTCAATCAAATCCGAATCCGAATGGGTTGAAATCTCTCCCAACTTTCTTTAACCCCGAAGATCAAGACGAGTGAATGAGTCAAGTGGGCTGATGCATCGGCTTGATGTTTCCCAATTAGTAGAGGAGAGTAGAGTGGAGTAGAACCTAGACGGGAGCACAGTTCAAGCGATCGGGGTAAAACAAAGCATGACAAGCCGCGATCCCCCGACCCAGAGCATTATCCATTATCCAAAGAGATACTGTCGCGGAGATCATGCGCAATTGGGCTTAATTAAAAGTTGTCGAAAACGGGAAAGTGAACATCGGCACTTGGCGCGTGGTGATAGATGCCACAATCCGGAATCCAGAAGGGGGAATCAAGTGACCCTCATGGATTCGGATTCTGGGGCCTGTAATTAAAACGACAGCAAGAACAAAGCGCAATTAGTTTGCATGAGACTCGCTTACAGTTTTTCTTTTTTTTTTTTGTGTTTTGTGTTTTCCCAGTCCACTAAGATGGGGTGTCGTCTGGTCAACACCAAATGTTGACCGGCTAATTGAATTAATTCCCTGTCCAGCATTTGATAGCCGACGTTGATTTCCTGTCCCGGTCGCCAAAGCGCCGCTAATCAGGATGCTGCCTCCCACTCTATGAGACGGAATCCACGCTCATAAAAAAAGCAAACAGCCTCCCAAGATAGAAATTACATTGCTTACACATTTGTTTGCCAAGTAGGTTTGGTAAATAAGCGTATTTCCTAATTATGGTTATTTTATAGGGTCAATCTCTCAAGGGATTATTTGTAGAGTTTTATAAGCTTGAAATGATTCTCAGAAAATTATACTTAAAACTATAATAATGATCAAGTTCTTAAAATAATTACTTAACTATTGTGCAATACAGATATCATTTCATGATTATAGGTATTAAGTAAATTCTTTTTAATACCTCTTTTCAGATATGTACAGCACCCACACCTCGTCCAGTTATTCACCAAGTATTTCTGACGGCACCATGACTCCGAACTCCCACCATCTGCCAGGAGCTCCCAATCCGGCTGGCCAGGAGGATCACCATCCTTCCGAGGGCAAAGCCAATGGAGGCGCCGAGGGCGAGGAGTTGCCCAAGCCGAAGCGCTTGCCCCACTTCCACCACCACCACCACCACCACTACCACCACCAGCAGGCGCTGAAAATAGCCAACAAGCTGCGCAAAATCAATAAGGAAACCAAGATGGGAGCCGCCGCAGGTGCGGGATCCGCAGGAGCGGGCTCCAAGTTTGATAAGCTGACAGGGGAGGGGATTAAAAGTCGCGGCGACGGCTCCTATCAGTGTCAGTTCTGCGAGAAGACATTTCCGCGACTCGGCTACTTGAAGCATCACGTGCAGGTGAGTGTCCTTTCCCAAAAAAGGGTTCAAAGTTCACAGGAACTTCAGCTGAAGGGTGGGTGGCTCTGCCATTAGTAGGTGGCTCTTAATTACCACCTTGGCAATTTCGTAAGGCGCTTATGCTATTTTGGGAGCTGGGTGGCTCTTCCTGATTGACATTCACCCTTTGAGGTGACAGGCTTCTAAATGCTTAGAACACCTTTAGGCACTCAGGGCGTCAAGGCTGAAATTTGACTGACAATCTGCGGTGGTTCCATTGATTTTCCTCTAATAAAAGGAGCTAAAATGGGATCTCTATTTGCTAATTGAAATCGAAAGTGATAAAGGCGATAGGGCTTCAAAAAGATTGCGGTGTAATTTTATTTAAGGGTACTTAGTTTAAAAAATATTGCAATAATACATTCAAATAAGATGATGCTTCAAAGAAAAATTCAATAATTTTCAAAAGTTAAATGTCTTTTAATTTAACTAAAAATCAAGTGCATTAATTATAAATCATTAAGAATCAAGAGCATTATTTAAAATATAAAGTGTTATATCATTTGTCTAATGCTCATTCGGCAATCTCATAACCAAAATCAAAGAGCTTGAAGCCTTTTGAGTCGGCCGCTTTTCACCCACACACCCCTCGATTCCAACGTCGCCACAATTCTAATTCGGCTTAAATGCTTTCTGAGCCGCCAACACCGCCCATGACATCAGCAACTTGTTAACCCAATTGCAACTGCTGTTTAGGACTACCGACAAGATAGCGATCCCTATCGGGGACCAGGGTCTAACATGTAGCACCGCGACTTTGATCCTAGCGCCTGGATGGATGAGATCGTACGTTCCGGAATTCAGAACTCAGAACTCAGAATTCAGAATTCCGAATTCGGCATTCGCCGAGTCGCCGATGCTTTGGTTGATGGGATATGCTGATGGCGATGATGATTGGAGCGACAGTTTAAAAAACCATAACCAACACGAGGGGTTTATGCCATCGCTCTCTGGATGCGATGCGACTAACCCGGCTAACTCATCATATATTGTGCAATTTTAAGGCACTCCAAACTGGGGGGCTGCATACAAATGGGCTAATTTTTTTTTGCGCTGCTGCTGTCGCTCTCAAAGTTCAAAGTCGGCTGCCGCTCAAAAGAACCCAAAAAGTAAACCGGTTGCGGGTGTAGTTTAAGACCCAAGTCCCCAAACCCCCAAGCCCCCAAACCCCAGCACCTGCCCCTTTCTACCGCAGAAAAAAAAAACCAGCAGAAGAAGGGAAAAAAAAGTGAGCGGCGTCGCGCATTTAGATGAATTTTGTCCACAAGCCACGAGTCGCAAGTGAAACACCTACTCGTCGGGGCTTTCAGTCCGAGTCCGAGTCCAAGTCAGTCGGTATGCAGATTCAGATTCAGATTGACGCATCTATAAATTCAAGCCAGGAGCCGTCGTCGTCGTCGTGTTCGTCATCGTTGTCATCGCAACTCTTAACTGGTTTAGACAGCAGACAGTGGTTGACGCTGCCTTGTCTGGTGCTCTTCTAAGAATTTCAAATAGCTAGGCTAATTGCTCGGATTATCTTTTCCTTTGCTAATGGGCTTTTCCATAATTTCGTGTGTGTCTTTTCCTTTGCAGAGCCACGCTGAACACCTGCCTTTCAAGTGCGAGTACTGCTCGAAGCTCTTCAAGCACAAGCGATCCCGCGATCGCCACAAGAAGTTGCACACCAACGAGCGGAACTACAAGTGTCCGCATTGCGAGGCAGCCTTCTCAAGGAGGTAAGTTATAGGCTTTAAAAAAATATATAAAACTCTTTAACTAATTAGCAAATCTGGTATTTTGTTGTATCTCTTTTTAGTGACCACTTGAAGATCCACATGAAAACCCATGACATCCAGAAACCCTTTCAATGCAGCATGTGCAACAGGGGTTACAATACCGCTGCGGCGTTGACCTCCCACATGCAGAAGCACAAGAAGAATGCCGCTATCTTGGCAGCTGGTGGCAACCCCAATGCCCTCAACTACAGTCCTCGATCCACAGGATCTGCCTCGGCTTCGGTTTCCAGCAATGGCAGTCTCCAAAAGAGGCGATATGCCTTGGCTTTGGCTTCGGACAGCAGTCCCAGTAGATTGGATTTCCCCAAGAGATCGAGGAGTGGCAACTTGGGTGGCACCACCACCACAACTGCCACGCCCACTCCGATGCTGAGATGCAGCTACTGCCCCAAGGTCACCGAGTTCAGCAGTCTGGAGCAACTGAACGCCCATCTGCAGAGTGTCCACGAACAGCAGCCAACTGGGAAGAGTGCTCCTGGTCAGGAGGGGGAAACCTTCCAGCTGAGCTGTGAGTACTGCACCATGAAGTTCGGCAACATCGCCGGACTTTTCCAGCACATGAGGAGCACCCACATGGACAGGTTGAGCAGCCCGAATTCTTACTACGAGCACTTCAATCGTTTGGCCACCGCGGGAACTTTCAGTCCGAGATTGGCATTGGATTTGCCGAAGATTAAACAGGATCTGGGAAGTCCTGAGAGGGAATCGCGGCAGGCGGAAGAGGATCTGCCCACGGATCTGAGCAGCAACAAGCGGAGACCTTTGACCCCGAATCCACCAAGTCAAACCCAACTAGCACCACCATCTGCGCCACCGGGTGTCTTCTTCTGCAATCAGTGCAATGCTGGACTTCCGGACTTCGAGAGCTTCAGGAATCATCTGAAGAGTCACATTGCCGAGGGAATGCAGTTGGTGTGTCCCCATTGCGGGCTGAGTTTGCCGGAGCAATCGGAGTTCGAGCGCCATGTGGTGGGTCACTTCCTCATCACGGGTTCCGAGTTCAACTGCAGTTCGAGTTGCGGCAAGAGCTTCGCCAAGTCCGAGGATCTGCAGCAACATCTCCTTTCGGATCACGTTCTAACCCTTCTGAAGTGTTCGCTGTGCTCGGAACTCTGTGAGAGTCGAATGGCCATGCAGCTCCACTTGGCCTGTGCTCACAGTCAGGAGACAAAGCTCCTCCGCTGCAGCGCCTGCTTGGAGCTCTTCCGCTCGGACGCCGAGTTCCATGTGCATGTCAAGACACGTCACCAGCTGGGCGGACATCCCGCGTTGGGCGCCACTTCTAGTGCGCCCAGCAATCCATTGCAGTGTATGTTCTGTCGAGCGGTTTGCTCCTCGGAATTGGAGATGCACTTCCACTTGGCGGCCCACGCTCGCCAGTTTAGATGTCCCTCCTGCCCGGAAACCTTCCATGTGGAGTTCCTGCTGGATCGTCACATGCAGAGTCAACATGGTGGGGTAAAGGATAAGGAATCGAACTCACCCAATATGGGAAGTCTCTATGTGAATGCTTTACTGCCTCCTTTGGCGGCGGCGGCGGCGGCAGCAGCGGCCACCAACAACAACAGCAGCATAATAGACTACAATGTGGCGTTCAAGGGATTGTTTGGAGGTTCAGCCGGATCAGGAGGAGGATCTGCAGGAGGGGGAGCAGCAGGAGGAGCTCCACCCTCGAGTAACAAATTCTACAGTCCTCTGCAAGTGGACACCAATGCATTGAAGGCACAAACCTCTCCACATCCTGCTTTAATGTATGGCCTCAGTCAGCGGTATTTGATGGAGATGTATGCTGCCAAATCCACTTCGCCTGCGGGTAACGAAGGAGTGGGGAATCCACCAGTTTCGACTCCCCAGACCGCAGCTCCTCCCCCACAAAGTGCACAAACTGCCACCTTCAGTTGCGGAATGTGCGAGCGACAGGATTTGCGCAGCGAGGCGGAACTCCACTCGCATCGCAAGCTGGCTCACAACTTGAAGACCGGAGTGAGTTTGCGGTGCGCCTACTGTGCGGGCAACTTCAAGTCCCGCGCCGAACTGGAGCAGCACATGAAGAGCTGCCACAACTCGACGGGCAAGCACAAGTGCCTCATCTGCGACGAGGTCTTCCCCTCCCCGGCCATCCTGGCGGAGCACAAGCTGCAGCACTCGAAGGTGGGCCAGTCGGGCAAGTGCTCCCACTGCGGCCAGCCGCTGGAGGATGTGGCCGCCTTCCGAGCTCACCTCTCCGAACATGGAAGCGATGGTGCCTCCCTGCCACTGGCATGCATCTGTTGCCGCCAAACGTTGCACTCGGAATTCGAGCTAAGTCTGCATGCCAAGTTCCACACGAAGTCCTCGTCGAGTGGTGGGAGTCTCCAGGAACCAGTTTGTGCTCTGTGCCTGGAACCTCTGCCCGATGCCACCGAAGGTCCTGCCAAACTGTGCGACAAGTGCTGCCGCAAACACAATCTGAATGGAAAGCGTGGCAAGCCCACTGAACCACCTTCGGCATCTCTGCAGTCGCAGACTCCCTCCTCCTTCGTGGAGAACCGCTGCAATCTGTGCAAGATGATCCTGCCACATGCCCAAAAGCTGCAGGAACACCTGGTGGAACACACTTTCGCTGGCACCGAACAGCGTGGCTTCAATTGCTACATTTGCTCCGCGGTTTTCACCGCTCCTGGAGGATTGCTCAACCACATGGGCGAGCATGGAGCTCACTCTCGTCCCTACGATTGCAGTATTTGCCCGGACAAGTTCTACTTCCGCGCCGAGTTGGAGCACCACCAAAGGAGCCACGAGCAGCGACCCCAAGTGCGTGCTCCTGTGTCCAAAGTGGAGGTGCCCTCCATTCGGAAAAGTTCACCCAGCCAGAGCCCGGTGAGAAGTCCCACGATTGTCAAGCAGGAACTCTACGAAACTGATACGGTTGAATCGAATGCTGGAGAGGATGAGCCCGAGAATCCTCCAGAGGAAGAGGAGTACATCGAAGTGGAGCAGATGCCACATGAGACACGTCCAGCTGAGATTGGGTCGCAAATGGAAAGGTCCACCAGCAGCGCCTAAAAAATTACTAGAAAATTAAACAACAGTTGGGAAACTCTTCTAGAACTTATCTTAATATTTAAAAGACTGTTTCCAAACTTGCTTTTAAATTCAAATTCCAACGTTTTACATATTTATTTTTATAAACATTTTGGGACACACCAGACCAAAAGTTTCTGCCCCAAAAACTAATGCATCTTGCCACTTTTAACACGAAGCAACTGGAACAGTTTAGTATTAACCACATATAGTACGTATAGTTACATAACTTTGCATAAATCCTAATAATAAGTAATTGTCAGAACATAATCAATATTACACATACGCCTAGTGTACTCGTAGAAAGTCTTGAGAAAAAGTTAAAGGAAAGCATTTGTGTGTGATAGTTTTTCAAAGATTCGACTCCGCTATTTATCCTCAATTATGATTTATGATTTACCTACTGTAGGTGTGTATGTTATAGGGCCTTGCCTTCGATTCAGTATTTATAACATAAACTGTATTACACGATCCAACAATAACTAACCATGTAACTATAAAACGATTAAGCAATTACATATGAGTGTACATCGCATATAAGCACCAAGACATTTTTAATGTGTAGCATATAAAAACCGAAAAGGAAAAGAAAGCAAGAACGAATATTTAGTAAATAAAACAAACACAGAAGTTGAAACCAAAGCGCTGCGTATTTTATGTCTTTACTTAGAAGGGGGGAAAATCTGATAAGAAGCGTGTCTTTTATTCCCCGTTTTTATGGAAGCTGACGAACAAACGACGACTGAACGACTGAACATGTGCGAGGTTCCACCTCCTCGAGGGCTCCTCCAAGTCCGAATTTTTATGGCGAATATTTCGTTTCTGGTTTTCTGGTTGATTTCGGCAAGCGCGACACGTAACGGCCATAAAAAAGGTGCGCAACAGGGTAACCCGTACGTATATAACCCGTATATAACCCGTAACCCGGAGCCCCTTTTCGTTTTCAGTTTCGCCAGACGACGACAAATTGGCATCTCGGTTGGGTGATCTCTATCTGCAAGACCGGTGGCAATTACCCATCTTATAAATTCACTTCTGTATCTGTGTGTCTGTGTGTGTTTATATGACGCTTCTGTTTTCCCGGAACGCTCCAAACTGGATGCGGATCGTAGGTCTAATCTTGCAGCACCTCCTGCTTCTGGGAAGCAATTGCGAATAAATCGCATTTAATAAATTGCAGCGGCAAAAAGGCACCGACCGATCCAATATAGCTCCGCATACGTATATATCTCTGCACCTGCTGTTGCCCTCCCTGTCGGCGGCAATCATCACAAATCAATAAAAATGTTTATCATCAGCCAAACAATTGTCCCAGCTCTCCAGCTCTTTAGCTCTTCAGCTCAAGTGGCTAAAAAGCACACCGGCAGTTGTTAATTAGCGCCATGCCGCAAATGCCAAAACGTCCGAAGGAAAACAGCAACTACACAACGGGCAGAAAAAAAAGAAACAAACCAGAAAAAAAAAACAAAACTTGGCCATCGGAATTGCCGGCGACAATCGAAAGCCACGAGAGGGACTTCATTGATCGTTTTGGATTCATTGGAGGCTCACTGCGATTCCGACCAGACCGCCAGGCGCGTCATCCGCTGGATCCAATTCCCAATCCCCCACTCCACTCCCTTCCCTCCTCGGGTTTTCCGCGAACTCCTTTCTTGCTTTTAGCGTCACCAATATGTCCCAAGTGATGATGATGATGACCACTGCAAATCAAAACCTCCAACATATCGAGCCAACAACTCCGATCGCATCGATCCGCATCGCTTTATTTTCGGTATGTCTGGCATTTGACGGGTTTTTACACGCTGTCTTGGCAGAGGAACGAACAGTGGTCCTAAATGCTCTCATAAATTGTAGAAAGGTGACCCAAGTCTGCACCTTTAGATTCCATAACTCTTCAATTTTTTGAAATTTTAGGGGAAGGTCGATTTCAGATCCCCTTTCGGATAAGATTTTTTCAGGATTCCGAAGTGTTGCAGAAAGGTGAATCAAAACAGTTATTCCAGAACCCATAACTTCGACAATTTAAGTCCGATCTTTAAGCTTTATACCTCTAAGAGTTTATAATTTGATTCTTAAAATAACTACATTCAAAGTTATCTATTTAAGGATGCTTAACTTAAAATTTAGTCCCACTATGCAACGATGTAGAGTCGACTGAATGACTGACAGACCGACAAACCAACTGAGTGACTGGCCAGACAGCTGGGATATCCAACGACAAGCACATCCACACTCCCATATATTTATATACCCGTGCAAGTCCATGGAACCCCCAGCTGCCTTCCAAAGTGTTGGCCAACTCCAAGTCTGGCTGGCATGCGGGAAAAGCATTTTTGGGGCCGCGCTGCGTTACATTGACAAATGAAGAAGCTCCCATCAGTCAAGCAGATGGAGGAAAGGAGCTCCAACTTTGGCCTGCCGACTGGCTAACTGACTGATGAAGATGCCGCAAAACACCCAAAACCGAGTGGCTCAAATGGAGACAAATGTGAAAGGAGAAAAATCAGCGAAGTGAACTCGCCAGGTCCTTGAAAATAAAAACGAGGGCTAAGTGATGTCGGTGAAATATTTTCGCATGCCCTATTAAACAAAAACAAAAGTGAAAAATTGTTTTCTTCTCTTCATTGTTTCTTCTTTTTGCACAACCCCTCTGGAAATGCTTCCTCTTCCGGCCAGAGAAAAAAAAAGGGGGGTGTTCGAGGAGTTTAAGGACACGGAATGTGTGCCAAACATGCAATATGTGTGTGCTTCACTTACATTATCTTCATTACCGGCTTATTAGCGTGATTTACCGATTGGGGGAGTGATGTGTATCCTGGTGGCAAGGAGCGTAATAATAATGACACTGCGGATAAGGATGTGCTGGCACTGAGGGCACTTCAAGGATGCGTGGGAGGTGGTTGAAGAAGGCCTGGGAAAGTGACTCCGAAAGCGCCATATCCCATATCCGTTTGTCAATAATACCGTGCGAATTTCTTGATGGATGTGCCACAGGAAATTCTTAGCTGTTTTCTCTTTTAATATTGAAAATAAAATGCTCCCCCCTAGAACTTGTCATATGCAAATTTTGATTTGGGTTCGGTTATTAACCATCGAGTCCATCGCCTAATGGAGGGTTACATCTTCATTTGGAACTTGTCAATTGGCTGTCAACTTCCTGTCTGAAAATTGTGAGCTGGGGCAGCCGCTAATTAGCTGACCAGATCGCAGAGATACAGACCGCGCAGTAGTATCCTCTGCTTCTCGGGCGAGGCGCTAATTCAATTAATAATCCCTCGCTTATAGGAAACAAAAAAAAAAAAAGGGGGAGTAGATACAACACGCGCGATCCGTATCAACTCGGCAATTTACACAAATTAAAACTAAACAGTTGCCCTCCGTCCTGCACACTTAATTATGCAATTACTAGATAATTTTTCTTGTTTTCCGCAGCGCACTTGTTTCCTTTTGTTGTTTAATATTTGTTTTCTTTTTTCGGCGGCACGAGCTGGGGCACAGAAAACGAGCCGGAAACCGAAAACAGTTGCAGATACAGATACATAATCCCTCGGATACACATATGCGAGCGGCTCCCATTGGCCGAAAGTGGTTCGTTCTGAGTGTGAGTGCGACTGTAGGTGTTTATGTACCGCTCTTCGGATACACACACGCGTAGGGAGTCGTTTGGGGCGTGGCATGGGTGGCAGGAGTGTATCTGTGAGATAGATTTACAGGTAAGGATTTCTGTAAAATATTTTAAGGTATGATAAGCTTTAAGGAAATAATTACGAAACATTTTATAAGCTTAGAAAATACTAGTATATATTTAATTTTCTTTAAAAATTTAGAATATAATAATATAAGAAGCATATATAAGATTCATATTAGAATCTCTTAAAATCAATATCCTTTATGCACAGTTATCTCTCTTCTCCCATTTTAATTATACCCCAAATTATTTCCTTATAAAGGAGGCTGAACGTGCTGAAATCGGCGTTATGCTAATGGATATCGATACGCGATCTTCGGCAGGCTCATTGATTGATTGATTGATGGATTGATTGCCATTCAGGGCAGCAAGCACCAAGTATAAACAGCGATTGCGGAGGACAAAGGAAGCGAGTGAATCGCATTTGCGGGCGGTTTGTTTTCTATGCGCAATTTATAAAGTTGCTGACATAATAATGGGAGCCAGGACACGCCGGGAGCTGCGGCCAGGATCAGGATCTGGATCAGGATCACCTCGCCGCATGGCACCTCCGCCTTTAATTCTCGCGAATTAATTTATAAAGGAGCTGCAATCGAAAAGAAAAGTATTGTGTTACCAAGACCCGGGAGCTGGCATCCAGGATCGGAATTGGGATCGGTAGAGAGACTGGGACCAATGGAAGCAGCAGCAGGATCCGGCGAGCGTCCCAAGTTTGCTCGCCTTGATAAGACACAAAAGAAAAGGTCCTCCAGGACAAAGGACCTCTCTGCGCTCGGCAATTGCCCAGGCATTTCCTCGAGCGTGTTTATGCTTTGCGCCTTCTTATCCCCCGATTTCTTATCACGGCAAAAAGATCAAATTTCGAGAGGGAGCAAATCGGGGGAACTCAAGAGGGAGCGAAAAGGAGCCGCTGGGAAAGGATGTGGCGAAGGATGAATTCCGAGGCTCCTGTTTGAAAGCTTTAGTAGGCGGGCAGAAGTCACCAGAAGTCCTTAGAATTTACCAATGCAAGGAATGGAAATATATTAGATATAACATTTTTATTATAAAAACAAATAATTTCTTGCTATCACCATTATATCAATGTTGAATTAATACTGCTTAAATTTTAACTGAAAATTGTATTTGATAAATAATTATAAAAAATAAACAACCTATGTATCTTCATAATGCACCTTATTTCCATGGAATAGATTTCCCTCAAAATATTTAGAAGTCACCCCTTCGAAACTCTCTCCCAAGTTGGAACCCCAAACCATAAAGGTGACATAATATTTTCGTAAGTCTTTCACCTCTTACAAAAAAAATATATGGCAAAAAACGGGACAAAGTCAACGTTCTCTATATAGATGGCATTACACAATCAGATGCTGTTTTGTGGCCCTTTGGTAGCGCCTGAATAAAACGTTTACCCAGAACCCGCAGAGATACAGAGACCTTAATTAAATTTCTGTTGCCTGAACAGGAATTTTCCCCCGTTTTTCGGTTCGGTTTGGTTCGGTTTGTGTGTTAACTTGTTCTAAGTACGCGGCTTTTATGACCCGCACTCCAAGTGCCAGGGCTCCAACTCCAAAATGATAATATAACAATCATGATGATGATGATGGAGGTCTGCTTGGAACAGCAACAAAAACTGAAACAGAAACGGACAAGTTTCACAATTCGCTCGCGGGTTTATCATGTCCAGCAGAGTGCGTTTTGACCTCTTGGCGAGTACGTGCCTGGCCTCAGAGTGTGACAAACTAGTTTTTTTCTTCTTTTTTTTTTCTTTTTTTTTCTTTTTTTCTGCCTCCTGGCTCAGCTGGGTAGCAAAGTAGTGGCCTGTAGTTGTTGCTTTTATGACTTAATGCCGCGTACGCCGCGCAATTTCAATTACATGGCGAACCCAACAGGCCGCAAAACGGTTTACATGGGTTTTAGCCCCCTGTATTGGATAGATGGATATATAGAGCAGCAACAACACTTTCATTTCGATGGGGATGGAGGAGAGGAGAAGGGGGAGGGGAAGGTGCAAGGGGGGAGGGAGCTACGATGTTGTAAGACCTTCGACCGCGGCCAGGTGCCAAATTTGACAGGCGAACGAACGCTCGACTCGCGCATAATTTATGCCCAACGAAAACCCAAAACTACGATGTTTCCCAGTTTTGGGAGTGGGTTCAAGTTGACCTGGCCGACAGCCGGTGGCACGTGGCCAACTTTATGATTTCTCGCCTCAGAATTGGACAAGGTAGCGGGTTCTTAGGTTCTTACTTCTTTAGCAGCATCTTCGCGGGCGGCATGCATTTTTGATGACCCCTTTGGAGGTGGCAAAAAGCCGGAATTTAATCAACGCTGCAGGTGCAAATGGATCCAATTGGAGCACGGGTAGATGAATAGTGTTGCAAGTAGCTCCCCACTGCAACTGAGGAGATATTTGCTCAAGGAAATTTAAATCCTTCTTTTCTTTTCTGTTTGCAGGAGCGGCACATTTTTCATTAACATTAAATCCTCATAGAAATCCAAAATGCAAAAAAAATTGTTTTTTACATTTTGAATTTATTAAGTTATAAAGATCTTAAATATTGATAAAATATTATTACGACTAAATAAATCATTGAAAATGATGAGAAGACTGATTTTTTGTCTGTAAATTCAAATTAGAACCACTTAAATTGGTATTTTTATAAAAACAAAATCGGAATTAATCCATATATTGTTTACTTAAGACCAACAGCAAATCGTTAATGTAATAAAACATTAAAAGTAGCACGCAAAATATTAAAAAACGAATAAAACTTATATGTAATTGGTTTTGGTCTTAGCTTTATTTACTTTTTATTTACATTACATTAATTTTACACAAAATGCTTACTGTTTCGTCCGTATTGGCGCTTTGTTTGACAGAATTGTTAACATAGCAGGGCGTCAGTGTGCCCGAAGTTTGTCCAAAGAAAAATACCAGAAAAGGCATTTCTGTTAGTCAACAGCGGTCGAAGACGATAAGTTAACCAATCGAAGAAGAAGAATTCAAAGCAAAAGAAAAACTGGGGGACGGTTGTGGGTGCGTTCGGCTGTTCGATTGTTTTCGGTTGCGCTTAATAAACCTCGTAAAAAAGACCGCAAATGCTCCTCGACTTGTAACTTGAGCGGTTTTTTGACAAAAAAAAAAATAAGCGTTTAATAAAACGGAAAACCACGCGTGAGTGAAGGACGCTGTGTTGTTTAACACCCGTGGAAATATAAATAAGGAAGAGGAAAGAAGAAGAACGGTCAGAGTGTTTTCCTTGTGAAGTGAGAAAGAGAATAATAAACGAAAAGAGAAGCATCAGAAACCGTTATCAGCGACCGGCTATAATCATGTTGATCTCGTGCAAATGCTCGAATTTAGTTGCTTCGACATCGAAGTGGCAGCGCAGCCACAGCAGCGGAGGGGGTGGGGTGGGCGTTACTCCCGGTGCAAGCGGTACGCCAGTTGGCGAAGTCCCCATCCCGATCCTTCTGTCGCAGGTGTTCCAGCAGAAGTATCCCCGGGACTTTATCTTTTACTCCCTGTTCATGGACTTCTTGAAGCACGTAAGTGAAAATATATGTCTTCTATATAGTTCGTCATCCGATTATCGCCCGGTGTGCAAGAGCGGGATGTAAGATGTATTGATTGGGGGGTAGGCAAAAACAACAAACCGCGCAGCATAAAAAGCAACAACAATGGCAAAAGGCCTATGCTCGGCAACTAGTGCGCGCTCTTTCGCTCTCCTTGCGGGAATACAGTGACAACACGGTTAAAGGAAACATAAGGAAAGAAGGATGAAAATTTTAAGCAATACGAATTTTTCCTATTTCATTTTTAAACAAGCTTAGCAGTTTATAATAATGTATATACCCAAGAATGTGTTAGCTAAGGTAAACAAAGTACACAGTACAAGAATTATTACTTTGTATTGTTAACCAAATTAGGAAATTCCTTAGGAATAGTTTACCATCAAAACGTTTACCTTGTTTAATCACAAAAACCTCTGTAAAATAAAAAGTTACACGTGCTTGAACTTAAAAACCAGCAAAATAGTTTGCTTTAATCAAGGTAATTGTTAAGCGAAATTCACTGTATTTGCGTTGTGTTGTGCCGCGATGTATTTACAAATGTGAGTGTGTGTGTGTTTATTATCGTTCTTTATGCTTTGTGTGCCGGCCTATGGCTTTTCCTTTTGCTTTTCGCCGTTTCTGCCTGTGCCGCCTATTCTATCACACACACAAAACAAACATAGGCCTGGAATCTGGAATGGGAATGGAAATGAAAAGCAAGGGATTGGTAGGGGGATGGACTGTGGAGGGATGTAGGGAATATGGAAGGGCAAGAAGAAATAGGGTCATCCATTCGCTCATGGGAAACAAAAGGAAAATCGTGAGCAATCCTCACATTTTTCAGGTTTATTTTCGGCCTGCCGAACCAAGTGCAACTCGCATCTCTGCTCCGCTCCTTCGTCTTCCACCCCCTCCTTTCCCCGCACCTGTTCATCATCAGCTCCTCCTTTTTATACAGGAACACCCTGTTCTTTTTTCGGGTTTTCTCATTGCCAACCTGATCGCCGGTATTTTTAGTTTCCTGCGTCAGCTTCTGTTTCGCTCGTGTTACTTTATTCCGTCTTTATTCGCGTTTTTATGATTTATGCGCTTTTGCTTTCCATTTGTCACGCCCTCAGAGTTGTAAGTAATTTGCATAATTTCGTTCAGAAATTTTCAGCCTTTTGGGTTCCCAAAAAGGTCGCCAAGGGGTGGGAACTCCCGGGCTTTTGAGGGTTAAGTGAAGTCCGTTCATGGGTCATAACTTTACACTTTTGGCATCACAAAGTTGTGGGCTTATGAAAAATATTACGAAGGTGGTTATCAGCTTTTTAAAATTACAAGAAATATTTAAATATTTTTTTGTTCCCTCAAAAAGGATATTTGGGTTTTAATTTAGGTAAAATTGCGCTTTAGCGGCTTTTGCTAAAAATGGTCTAGGAATTTTTTTTTTTTTTTAATGGATACCTTGGGGCCTAAACATTAATAAAAAAGTGGCGGAAAGCTTGATTTCTAAGTATTTATTTGTAAAAATAGCAAAAAAGCAACTGGCCATAGCTTTTCTGGGTATTCACTCAGTACTATAAAATCACTCTGAGTCATTTCGCAACCTTTACAGCGTTCAGTAGTAAAATTGGCAGTGCCTGACATGGTAAAATTGTTAAATTTCTTTTGTTTTTAAATTTTCACACAATTGCAGCACTCTTCATCCACAACACATTCTCAACGGTAAAGTTTTTCGCTAGAAAAACATGGCAATGTTCTAAAACGGGTTGCCTCGCGGCAGTAATAATTGCAATTTTAACACATAAATAATTAAAATTTAAGCTTTCCGCCACTTTTTTATTAATGTTAAGGCCCCAAGGTATCCATTAAAAAAAAAAAAAAATTCCTAGACCATTTTTAGCAAAAGCCGCTAAAGCGCAATTTTACCCTGATTTCATCAAAAGATATTCTTTTAAGGCCCCCATAAACATTTCATTAGTCATTACTTATCAATTCTTTTGTAGCTTTTATGAGGATTTCTTAAAAAAGTTTCCATACCTTCTGGATTATTATTTACTTTTCGAAATTTTTCATAAACACAGACCTATATCTGCATATTTGAAATATAAATAAATTAATTGTTTATTTGATCTTATCATTTACAAACAAACAAGTTTATAAAATCCCCTTACCATTTCCCACTCTTTTTTGTTTGACTTGATAAACTTCATAAAGTAATGGTTAATATTTGCTTTTCATTAAACTTATAAAAAATTATGTGCATAAATTCTAGTCATAAGTGTATTTATTGAGAGGGTAAACTGGTTCTTAAGTAGTTGACATTTGCAAGCAAATAATATCTTGGTTGACGTCCAGCTATAAGAAGTTTCCTTTGGGAACCCATCACCTGACTTTTTCTGCGTGTAATGGTTATTATTAAATAGTACTGTATTTTTCCATCTTAGTTTTTTTGGTTCTACCTTGTCCAAATTCAAGAAACAGAATCTCTGCGTCATCGCCGATTGTCTTGTCCACACTTTTCAAGGTTAAATCTCTCTATCCCCTTTTCTTTTTCACTGTCTCTGTTTTATCCCCCTTTTTTGATCACGATACTTGTCACATTTTGACAGCCACTGGGACGTTAAGCCGAGGTTTGACGGGCAGTGGGTGGACGAAGGTTCATGAGGGTTCTTCATCCATTGTAATTAAGTTTTTCAGTTTTAGTACATTTTCAACAATTGGTTATCGCAGTGATTGCACATCACCGCAAACTTGTAACTCGAGTGCCGTATTTGTTGTAATGCAAAATTGAATTGTTCAATAAAGCTACGTCTTGTTAGTATTTTTTGTTGTGGTTTTCGAGATCGCCCGATACTGGCACTATTGTTGGTTTTGTTGCTTTGTATTGCATCCATTTCAAAAGCGCTGAGGCGTACAGCAACAACAATACCGACAAATAGACCAAAAGTGTTATTTTGAATAATTCAAAGCTCAAAACAAAACAAAAAGCCAGAAGAAAACAAGATAAACAAAATTGAGGAAAGCATCGAAGAACCAATACCCTGATTTGATTTCAAAACTAATAACATAAAAAGTCTCAGAATTAATAGAGTTATAATGTTGAATACTTTGGATTGATGAATAATAGTGCTGAGATAACCTTAAAAATTCGCACCCAAAAACTATCTCACACAATTTGGCTTTATTCAGGGTATAACTTTTATTCAAATACACATCGCAGCGTACATATGTATATCGCACATGTACAAATACGTATGCAAGCCTGTGTGTATATATACTCTCTATATAGAGCCAAAACGGAACGCTTTTAGAATAAATTACGAAACCAGCGACAAAATACAAGCAAGAAGTAAAAAACACAAAGAGCGGTCGAGGAGTGGGCGCCGCGGAGGGGGTGGTGGGTGGGCGGTACGAGGGCAAAGACGGAGGCAGAGGAAGAACAACAACAGCCGAGCCGAAATACAAAACAAAAAAACTTGTTTATAATTTTTTTCCCCATCTCTGTGTTTTGTACGTCTGTATGTGTGTCTCTGTGTTGGATAAACAAGTTTTCGAGATTTCCAAACGCGGCCGGCCGGGTACTGGACCGCCGTAAACTCGATGGAGTCCGGGATGAGGAAGAAGGGGCTCTCCAGAAGGCCCATTGGGCGCAAACCAGAGGGGGAGTTACTCCCCGAGATCCCAAACACGGAAAAAAAACTGTAAGATATCAGTGCCACAGAACTAGCTTTTAGTTTAAACCTCTTTGTAGTTACTTCTTTTGATATAATATCTCTAGAGGATTAGGTAAACAATATATTATTTCCTTAAAATAATTTGTTATATCATATAATATGAAGTAAATTTCAATTTCTATCCTTCTACCCATATTCCATTTACCATTCCGATCATCAATATGATACGATATTTTTTGCTATGTGTAGGCACACAAAAGAGACCCATGAGCCCAATATATTCAAAGCCGGGTAGGGGGTCACTAAGGCACACAGAGATGGCTGGCGAATGGTTTTTTCGGGTCCACTTGATGGGCCAGTTGACAGGCCGAGCACCACTAGCCAGCCTTCCCCATAAAGCTCTCAACTGCGTAGGCCCCAAAATGTTTAAATTATGAACTTATGCATAAAATTTGTTGAAACGCTGGACGACATATGGCAAATGATGTGGATGAGCTATTAGCAAGGCTATGCTTGAATTTTGTCAACTCCAAGTTTCACATGTTTTGTTCAAATTGACTGACAACAGACTATTTTGATTCAAATATCTCTAAATATCACGTATGCTAATGATTGATTATGGTTGTGTTTGAAAACTGTAAATGTTGTCATCTATTAAATTAATTTTTGCTTTTAGATGTCAGCATAAAACTGAGTTTCTATTACTAAATAGGGATTTTAAAAGATACAAAACAGTTTGTTTGTCATTGCTCCTAAGTCTTGCAATAAAAAATAAAAAATGAGTTATGATTGCACGCACGCCTCTTATCAACTTTCGTTTGTCCAGCTCACACACACACACACACACTCTTGTCCACACTAACACCTAGTCTTCTTTTCTAGGTTATCAAACGGTAAAAACGCCGCGACTCACATACTGATATTCTCGCTTACAAATATATATAGTATTTATATATAAAACCGATCGCTGGCAGTCGCGCTGTCGTCAGTAGACGTCTGCCTCCAATTTTGCCTTTTGGAATTGTTTATTTATGATTAGAACCTTTAATGAGTTAAACTCGCTTTCCTCGGGCCCTTTTGCAAAAATTCTGTCTCACCTGTGGAAATCGGTTAATTGGAGAATCACACGGCGACGATCTTTCAATGGGGCACAAAACAAGTTTTGACAAATAAAGCTAAAACAACAAGCGACAGCTGCATTCATATGCTAATGCCCATGTTTATTTTTAGCCCAGTTAATCGCGTTATGAAACCGAAAACCCTTTTCCAATCCACCGATTCAACAAAACAAATATCAACAACAGCAAATCCCCGGCACGAGTTATCAATCAGTTA